TTTATTTATTTATTACACGGCTCTGTGGAATACTTGATTCTGATTGCTCAGTTGCGACATTCCGAGGTATGCTATCCCTCGATAACAACCGGTAAAAGCTAATAACACAGGCTCATCCGAGTAACAGCAGTCGGCGCTGTACTCTTGCTTGAACTATTTTTGCTTGGTGGAAGCTTTGCGTTTGGTCTGTGTTATTAGCTTTTACCGGTTGTTATCGAGGGATAGCTTACCTCGGAATGTCGCGACTGACCAATCAGAATCAAGTATTCCACAGAGCCGTGTAATAATCTGAGATAACAACCGGCTGGATGTACATTATCCCTTACATATATATATATATATAACTTATAAATAAAAAACTATTCATGAAAATAAGTTTAGTAACTTAAGAGAGTGAAAAACTGAAAAAATTAAGATAAATAGAAATATTAAAAACAAAAATGTAATTAAAACGACAAAAGCACATAGCAAAATTACTAAAACTAAAATAAAAAATGAAAACTACAAATATAATAATAACTCTAAATGTTTAAAATATTCACAAAAATATATATATAAATAATACTAAAGTACACACATACGGCACACACTTAAACTTGATATTATCTCAATTTTCTCCAGTTCCTTGAAAAAGAAGCAATGGCATTTTTGTGGATAACGAAAGTAAACTGTGGCGTAATAGTTCAAAGTGTGACCATGTATTGATCCTAACCGTAACCCAGGACAGACACCACCTATGCTGCTTGCTCGGGTCACTGGACATCTGCCAATGAGAAACTGCTATTGATCCACCTGCCTGCTTGGTCATTAATCTGCGGCCTGTCTAAAACACAACTTGAAGGGAGAAATGGAGATATCTCTGCAAAACTATAACCAAAAGGTCAAATTAAATGATAAAAAAAAAGTTGGTTAAATTGTATTGAACATATTGTAATGGTAGGCTCCAGTATGCAGCTAAAACTGAATTGCAAATTCTTTCTTTAATAAAATGTAAAAGTTGGTTTTTACAATAAATATCAATTTATTATTTTAATAAAACCCTTTTTATTATCAAAAGGTTGGTTCTTATCTTATTTTTTCAGTTAGTTACAAAGGCAACATTTCTATTTTTTTTTTCTAGTTTTTAAAGTTTTGTTTTAGGTTTTTCCATCTAATATTTATGTTTAATGTCAGCTTTATTTCAAGGTTGTGGAAAACCTAGTAGAAATATCATGGTGTTTTACATGGTGATTTCATGCCTGGATTTATATTAATATATAAAACAACATTTTAACATTTTATAAGGGAGGGTTTGTATGTGCAAAGCTCAGTGGCACCAAGGGTGTTGTGGTTGGTTCCCAAGGCTATGTTTTGTTGTTACTTATAGCCCAAGTCAAGAATAATAATAATTCCCACTCCCAGGTCTCTATGATATTCAATGGGATTTATTTATTTATTTCCTGTTTTATCATCTGCCATGCAAAAATTGTAAGTCTAGAAACATAATAGCACACATCTACCTCA